CGCTCCTGTCCAGTGTGGGGTAACAAACACGCTCCTGTCCAGTGTAGGGACATTTCACTAAACTATGTGTAGATAAGTTGTATACTAGAAAATACAAAATATTCATGTTTGATATAAATATTTAATGCATCAATACAAATTTTTGGATTTTAAAGCTTGATAAGAGTACCTGGTTGCAGTATGAATGCTATTCTGCATTAGTTCAAGGTACTTTTATTTATTTTCTCAGTTTGAAATGCACTTGTGAGTTACGTCATGAGATACAAGCATGAAGGGACAAATACACTCATGCTACTGTGATCAGTGCTGTGGTCTTGCCTCGCCTCTAAAGACTTACTTAATGGTTAATACTGTGAAAAAAAGATAAGATCCCTTTCCCATATACAAATGTACCATATAAACAGTCAACTATGAAGAGTTCTTTTTGAATGTTTAGAAACATGTATACAGTTGCTGGGCATGTAGAAATTAATACACTTACACTTATAATGCTACTAGGACTGTTCCTTGGGTTTTGACTGCACCTGGGGACTTAGTCTCTGTTACATTATCTGAGCTGTTATTTCTTGTATTATTATTGGATTAAAAAGGGGAATTTGATATATTACTGCCCATAGGCATCTTGTTTTAACCCCTCGACAGTGGTGCCTCAATAATTCATCCTGCTGTGTTCTCAGAAAAGTGGCCGCATTATGATCATGAGAGCACTGTGTTAACATGACAATATTGTACTGAAACTGCGGACCTGTCTCCTAAAACACTTAACTATATAACTAGGTGATAAGATTAGTGATCTCTGGATTGATGTAGCTTGAAGGTTTTGTTTGTTTTTGTAATTCAACACTTTCAATAGATATACTCTAAGAAGATCAACTATTGTAAACTACATTTCTGAAGGTATTTAACTGGTGTTTATTTGACAGTACATTGTAGAGACTCATGCCCAGACTTTACTGCCTCAATACCTCGGCATGTACCGGATCACTGTCAATGATGTTGAGACCTACCTGATTGTGATGAGGAATGTGTTCAGTCCCCGGCTGGTCATCCACAAGAAATATGACCTCAAGGTTGGTCAGAGTCAGTAGTCCCTGTAGTATAACCTTCAGCTACTCACCTGCCAGGAAATGATGAAACTTATTATATGGTGCAGCTGCCAATGTCTGTCTTCTTGAAAACTGACCCATGGTCATGATATTTTGCTGTATTCTATTCAAAGGCCAACTTTACTTGAAGGCAGTATGGTCAAATGTTGGCAGAGGCTATAATGGGTAAAAATATTTAAGAACTTCTTCTGAAGTTCCAAGAAACCCAGGGTTGTGTTAATTGGCCAGTTAGTACCTTGGATGGAGTTAAGTTTCCTCGGATGAATAACCTAGCATGCTTTTAAGGTACAGGGGTAAAAGTGTGTCCAGAGCAATGCTTAATTTCTCATCCAATAATTATGAAACTTGGTACCAATGATTGGTACTTTAGGTAGTTGTGCACTTTGGATTTTATTTACTCTCAGGGTCAAAATTGTTTGCTTTATATATTCAAGTGAGTGATACAGGTGACTGGTCTTCTAGGCCACAGCATGTTGGTATAAGCCATTTGGTTTAACAATAATATATAATGTTAGAAGATCATTTAAATAAAAGGTTTACCAAATTTTTCATGACAAATTTTACTAGTCATTATCGTATATTTTAATGCTTATCCATGTCTTAGCTTGAAAATGTTTCTAGCTAACCCTTAAATAATAGTTATAGGAAATACTAAAAAAATATCTGAAACTAGGATGAACTGTAGATACGTATTGATTCTAAATTGCTTTCTCTAGATCTGGATAACTGTCTTTTAAATGTGTAGATTTTGATGAAATTTCTTGTCGTGCACATGTTAAACTATGTGCTGTTTAATTTATAGGGATCAACAGTTGACCGTCATGCCAGTGATAAGGAAAAGGTAGGATTTCATTGGAATCAAACTGTTACGTATGTGCTCCTAATTGTTTCCCTTCCATGATTTATGAAAATCCAGTCTGCAGTTTTATTTTCATGGGAGTTATATAACGCCCCTTTTACAAAAATATTAGTCAAATCTTGTACAGATAATTGTTACAGTAACTACATTTTTCGTTCAAATTTTGTGATGTTCCACAACAAGTTTTGCACCCACTCTTACTAAGTCACCTGTGTATTTCCCGTTTGATTGGAAATGGCTAAAGGCCACCAGCTGCAGGCAGCCTTCTAGAAATTGTAACCACTATTTCTCTGGAATTACTTAAAAGACCATGTCAAAAAATAATACATATGTAATGTCCATCTAGTCTATTGGTAGGAATGAAAAGTTGAATACACTCATGCTACAAAGTTTTGCCCTGATATCCAGCCCCACCCAATGGGACTTATTCCCTGGGTCATAACCTGGAATTAGTTGAAGTCCCCACCCTATAACCATATGTACATTTTCTAGGCTTGAAGAGCTGATTAGTCTCTTTCTACTAGGGTTAACTTGGGGTCTGCCCTTATCCCTGAAGACTTGCATAACTTTGAAAGATTTAAAATCTTCCTCCTATAATCATGTATGAAATTGTTGGACAGGAAGAAAGAAATACATTAATGTCCTTGGCTTGATGTCTTCCCTGCCCCAAGGAATTTAATCCTTTCCCAGTATATCTTGATACATTATATCTTGATCTTTTCACAGGCGAAAGACTTACCTACGTTTAAGGATAATGACTTTATTAGTGATGGCCTATCACTAAAGATTGGGATGGGTGCTAAGGACAAGCTGATGGCTACACTTACCAAGGATGCAGAGGTAATGTAAAAACTGCTTCAACATCGATCTGGTGATCTAAAACATCTAGAAATCAATATCTAGTTATTTACATTATGTATATATATATCTATTTGATATTTTATGAGTTATATATGCCATTCTTTTATTATCTACCTTTACTATCGATAACAAAGTTTGACACTATAGTTTACATAATTATGAACATAATATCATGTAAATAAGAAGCCCTATATTTCTTTTCAATTTAGAAAAAAAAAGTTAATGCCATATTTACAAAATTCAAAAGTTATCATGAGGCTTGCTCACTTTCTGTAGTTTATCATAGTTATCTGACATTCACTTACATTATATGGTGTACCTAAAACAGAGAATTACATTACCTGTTACCTGTGATCCCCTGACCCACCACTCAACCCACAAACACATCCCACTCCATCACACAACCCATACCCTACTCCATCACACAACCCA